GTGCGGGATTGACTGGGCCAATCGAAAGATGCAGAAGCTGCTCGGGCTCTGTGGAAGCCCCGCCCCGCGGCGTGACGCGCTGCGACGGCGATGGAGTTCGGTGTTTGTGCGGCGAGGCGTCTCGGGCGGCTCCTGAGGCTCCGGGATGTCTCGCGGCGTGCACCACTACCAGCTGCGGTTGTGGGACCCCGGCTGCAGCTGCTGGCTGTGCGGCGGCTTTCCACGAGACCAGCGCTCTGCCGGGCTAACCTGACCCCGGGCCTTGTGCGTGGCCTGCACGATGGGCCTCAGCAGGAGGAGCGGACACCCGGCGAGGGATTCCCAGAGCTGGACGTTTCAGGTATCGGGTGGAGGGAACCTCTCTCTGGGTAGCTGGGAGCCAAGTCCTGACGGAGGAGGTCGTGGGTTCCCTGCTTTATGTATTTCTGTTAACGAATCACGTAACTACAGAACCAGAACAAGAAGGTTCTTCAAAGGTTGCTGCCGCCAGCCTTCCTGTTTCACATGGAAGAAACAGGCCAGAAGATGAGCTGTAGTCTTAAAAGCGTCGACCGTGGCATGGCCACACCGGACCCTTGGCATCAAAACGTCGCCGTACTCCCCTCCCTTCATTCTCCACCTTAGGTCCTGGGAAATGAGATGTGAGATTCTTAGGAAGAGCCAGGGGCGGGGGCCAAGGTATGCGAGAGAAGCGCCAATAAGGTGAATCCCAGTTAAATACTGTTAATTATTGCAAATGTTTTTAGAAACTTGGGAAATGGTAAACAGGTTATATCCAAGAAGTAATAGCCTTGCACGGTGGCGCCAACCTATAATCCTAGCGACTCAGGGAGGCTGAAGCAAGAAGATCTCAAATTCAAAGCCAGCCTCAGCAACTTAGGAAGATCCTGTCTCAAACAATTTTTAAAATTTTTAAAAAGGGCTAGGGATGTGGCTTGGTAGTTAAGCACCCTGGATTCAATCCCGGGTACCAAAAAAAAAAAAGTTTATTAAAGAAATTGTAGACTATTAGAGGGCGAAATCTTGATGAATTTAGCTTCTAGGTCCTTTGGAGTCAGCTTTAGCACTTAGGTGAGCTGTAAAATTATAGGTTCTAGTAATACTACAAGCTGAAGAAGTGAGTGTTGAAATCTCTACATGAAAAAAAAGATTTTCATAGGTAAAAATTGCTAATAACCCAAATTGCTTTATGAGGAAAAACCTGATGAATCAGTTTTTGAGAATCACTTTAGCTCTTATTGATTGATCATAGCCCACACTAGTTTTATTAGGGCCTGTTTCTTCATCTCACTTGAAGGTTGTGACTATTTGAGATCCCTTCTGGCTCATAATTCTAGTTTTATAAATCTTTATGGCAGGGATTTGATTTAATATGCCCCAGAATATTATCTCCTTCCCAAATTGTGCTACTGATTTTTTAATAGCATTTCTTTCTTTTTTTTAATATTCTATATCTGTTCTTTTTTTTTTTTACTTTATTATTTTTTATGTGGTGAGAATGGAACTCAGTGCTTCATCTGTACTAAGTGCTCTACTACTGAGCCACAACCCCAGCCCCTTTAATAGCATTTCTGTGTTTGAGATGTATTGCTCATTTTAGTTATAGTGACTAGAAAGTCATTTGTCACTGACTTACGGTTCTACTTTGCATGTGGTATTAGCAAAGGAAATACAGTGGCTGTGTGTAATCTGAGCAAATCATGAAAGCCGAGCAATGCTATATGAAACTACTACCCAGGTTCAGCTTCCAGAAGGCCTAGGCCCTAACATCTTTTAGAACATTTTGAATCTTAACATCCTCTTAGAGGAGCAGTTTTAGTCTCCTCTGGGAGGCATCTGCATCTCTAGGTGCATACAGGTCTCTCTCCTACTTGTACATGTCACAAACAAATACTTGTGCCTTTCAGATCATACTGGTCCCAAGTTTGACATCGATATGCTGGTTTCACTTCTGAGGCAAGAAAATGCAAGAGACATTTGTGTGATCAAGGTTCCTCCAGAAATGAGATATACAGATTACTTTGTGATTGGTAGTGGAACTTCCACCCGACACTTACACGCCATGGCCTACTATATTGTGAAAATGGTAGGATGCTTTATTTTCTTTTTTGGATCTTTAACTAAGTGGAATAGTGTCAGTGTCAAAGCTGAGCAAACATTTACAGAATGAATCATTAAGAATAAATTATTAAGAAGCCCAACTTCAGAATTTGTAAAAAGTGTATTTTATGTTCTTTGGTAGTGAAAGGTTTAGGAACAGTGTCCAGCCTTGTTGAGTCAGGCTATTTCCAATTTTTGACTCTTGTGACCACTGAGAAAAAAGTTAAAAAAAAAAACCCGAAGGCAGGCTAGAAGACAGTATAAGCCAGAAGCATTTCTAAAACAGCACTATTATACAGTAGCCACTAGCCACATGTGGTATTTATAATTGTAAATTAAACTTACAAATTCAGTTCCTAACTTGTACTAACCACACTTCATGTGCTCAGTGGCTACATGTGGCTGATTGCGACCTTATTGGAAGTTCATAAAACATTTCCATATTTGCAAAAAGTTGTCTTTGTTGGCCTAGATTTTTAAATCAAATATTTGAGCACTGTGCTCAGCCTGGGGAAAGTAGTGAGATGGATGTATTCCTTGCCCAGTGAATTCACAGGTACTAAATACTAAGCTTACTAATTAGGCTTAGTATGAATCAGAATGGGGGGTGGGGCTGTACTTGGAAGTTTCTAGCTGATTCTGGTACAATTCTAGAGTGGAAAGGACTTCTCTTCCCTGTTGAAAACTGGCCAAAGAGAAGGCAGTTAAGACCAAAAGTATAGCTGAAATTGAATTGTGAAACAAGGGGTCTGAAAATGCCCTGATGTAACATGTTAGAGCAAATTCCAAAAACATAGTTAGATCTGGGAAGAAAACCAGGAGAGCAAGAAGAATAATTATCAGACAGTGTCTCTATCATATGCAGTATTAGGATGGAGTAAGATAAAGACTTAGCAGTCACCATTAGATTCAGGACTATAAAAAAAAAGACTGCAAGGTTTTTCAAAGAGGTTTCTGGAAGAGTAGAAATAAAGGACTAGAAGTTATTTTTTTGAAAATACTAGATGAGAAAGGAGAGAAATGCTATGTCAAGAACATTTTGTTGTTTGTGTTAGAATATATATATAATGAAGCACCTACCATTTTAATCATTTTGGGTATATATTTGTTGAGTAAGTACAGTAACATTGATGTACAATCATTACTTATCTTTCATCTTCAGAACTTTCTTCATCTTGCAAAACTAAAACTGTAACTATTCAACAATAACTCTTCATTCCCTCTTCCCCAACTACCATTCTACTTTGTTGCTCATGAATTTGACTACTCTTAGTATCTTACATGAATAGAATCATATAGCATTTGTCCTTTTGAGACTAGCTTATTTCACTTAACATTGTGTCTTCAGGGTTCATCTATGCTATAGCATATGCCAGAGTTTCTTTTTTAAGGCTGAATAATATTCTACTGTATGTATATATTGCATTGTTATTCATTTACCACTGATAGGTTGCTTCCAACTTTAGGCTACTGTGAGTAGTACTACAATAACACGGTATCAAAATACTTGTTCATATCCCTGCTTCTAGTTCTTTTAGATATAGTGGAATTGCTGGTTCACATGGCAATTCTGTTTTTCAATTTGGCAGGGAGGGGTACTAGGGATTGAACTCAGGGGATCTTGACCACTGAGCCACATCCCCAGCCCTATTTTGTATTTTATTTAGAGATAGGGTCTCAGTTGCTTAGCACCTCACGGTTGGGGAGGCTGGCTATGAATTTGCTATCTTCCTGTGTCAGTTTTCCTGAGCCGCTGGGATTACAGGTGTGTGCCACTGTACCCGGCTTATTTTTAATTTTGTCTTCCAACTAGTCATGTTAAAGTTTCTAACTTCTCCAGATAGTAGCCAAAACAGTTTTTGTTATTTTTTAATAATAGTCCTTATTATGGGTGTAAAAATAATACTTCATTGTGGTTTTATTTGCATTCCTGCTTAGTGACGTTGAACATATTTTCATTTTATTGAGCGTTTGGAGAAATGTCTATTTAAATAGATAATTGTCTTTTTTTTTGTGTGTATGGTATTGGGGATTGAACCCAGGGCCTTGTGCATGTGAAGCAAGCACTCTGTCAACTGAGCTATGTCCCCAGCCCAACACTTGTCTATTTTTAAGTCAGATTTGATTTTTTGTTGTTGTGTTGTAGGAGTTGTTTTCTAGTTATTAATCCTTTAACAAATTCGTAATTTGCAAATATCTGCTTCCATTCTGTGGGTAGCCTTTTTGCTTTGTTTGCCAAATCATATTATACAACTTTTCAAAAATTTTCTTCTACAAGTTTTATAATTTTAGGTCTTATGCTTAGGTATTTAATACATCTGGGAAGGTACCGGGAATTGAAAGCAGGGACGCTCTACCACTGAGCAAAATTCCAGCTCTTTTTAAAAATTAAAAAAAAAAAAAATTGAGACAATGTCTTGCCAACTTGGTGAAGCTGACCTCAAATTTGCAGTCCTCCTGCCTCAGCTTCCCAAATTGCTGGGGTTACAGGTGTGTGCCACCACACTCAGCTAAGCATGCACACTTCCTTTTTGCAGCAGTAGGGATTGAACCCAGGGACATTGAACTATATTCCCAGTCCTTTTTATTTTGAGACAGGATCTTGCTAAGTTGCCCATATTGGCCTTGAACTTATGATGCTCCTGCCTCAGCCTTCTGATGTGCCACTGTGCCCAGCATTAATCCATTTTAAGTTAGTTTTTATTGATGGTATAAGGTTTTCCGTGTGTATATACATCTTCCCCAGCACCATTTGTTGAAAAAACTAGCCTTTTCCCATTTAAGATCTCAGCACCCTTGCAGAAAATCATTCAACCACTTATGTGGGGGCTTTTTTTTTTTCTTTTCTTTCCTTTCTTCCTGGATTTTATTCTGTTCCTTTGGTCTATAGGTCTGAATTTATGCCAGTACTACAAGTTTTGATTACTTTAACATTGTACTAAGGTTTTAGCTTTGTTTTGTTTTTGCAGGGGTGGGGACATGAGGTGGGTCCTGGATATTGAAATCAGGGCCTGTTGGGCATGTCCTGAGCCACACACCCAGTCTCTATACTGTTCTAAAACCAGGAAATTTGAGACCACCAACTTTGTTCTTTTATAGGATTGTTTTAGTTAGGGTTAGGTTAATTTTTCTACTTTTTCAAAAAACAACATTGGATTTTGATAGGGATTGAACTGAATCTGTAGATTACTTTGGATAGTATTGACTTCTCTACAATATTAAATCTTCCTTTTCATGCACACAGAATATTTCCCATTTATTGATGTCATCTCTTTCATCAATGTTTTTTGTCTTTTGATACTAGGGATCGAACCCAGGGGTGAACCACATACCTAGCCCTTTTTATTTTGAGACAGGGTCTTTCTAAATTACTCGGGGCTTTGCTAAGTTGTTAAGGCTGGCTTTGAACTCATGATCCTCCTGCCTCAGCCTCCCAGGTCACTGGGATTACAGGCGTGTGCCACCGTGCCTAGTTCATCAGTGTTTTGAAGTTTTACTGTAAAAGTCTTTTTTGCCTCCTTTGCTAAGTTTATTCTTGGTATTCTTTTTGACACTATTGTAAATGAAATTTTTCTTAATTTCATTAATTTTCATTATTTGAATATAGAAATGCAACTGATTTTGGTGTCGGCCTTGTATCTTATAGTTTTGAATTATTAGTCTTAACCATGTTTTTGGTGGCATCTTTAGAATTCTACATTATGAGATCACATTGTCTGCAAACAGATAATTTTACTTCTTCCTTTCCAATTTGGATGCCTTTTCTTTTTCTTGTATAACTACTTTGGCAAGAACTTCCACTACTCTTCTGAATAGAAGTGGGCATTCTTGTCTTGTTCTTAGAGGAAAGGCTTTCAGTCTTTGACCATCTAGTATGTTAGCTGTGTGCTGTTTATATGTGGTATATGCTGCTTATTACATATCTTCCTTTTATTACCAGTTTGTTGACTGATTATATCTGAAAGGGTATTGAATTTTGTTAAATGATTCAGTTCAGATGATCATGTGGATTTTTTTTCTTTATTCTGTTAGTGTGATATATTACATTGATTGGTTTTCATATGTTGAACCATCTTTGTATATTTCAGAGTGAATCTCACTAGATCATGGTATATAATCCTTTTAACATACTGCTAAATTTGGTTTGCTGATATTTTGTTGAGGACTTTTGTATTGATGATTTTCCTATCGGGGTGAGATTTGCCTCAGAACAAGTTAGGAAGTGTTCACTCTTTAGTTTTTTTGAGAGCTTGAGAATGATTTAATTCACCAGTTAACCTGTCTGGTTCAGGGCCGGGTTTTTTTTTTTTTTTTTTAATGGTTGGGAGATTCTGATTACTAGTTACAAGTTACAGGTCTATCCAAACTTTGTTTCTTCATAAGGTAGTTTGTGTATTTCTAGGGAATTTGCCTGTTACACCTAGGTTGTCCAATTTGTTGTATACAGTTGTCTATAGTATTCTAATTACAATCCTTTTCTCTTAAATTGGTAGTAATGTCTTCTTTCACTTTTGATTTTGAATTTCCTCCCCCTTTAAAGATTTGTCATTTTGGTTGATACTTTTGAAAAGTCAAATTTGGGCTCACTAATTTTTCTATTTTTTTTTCCTGTCCTATTTTTTTCCTTCCTTCTGCCAGCTTTGTTTTTCATTTACTGCCTTATGGTATAAATTTAGGTTGTTGATTTGTAATCTTTTTTTAGTGTAAGTATTTATATCTATGAAATTTCCCTTTTGCTGCATCCCAGAAATTTTGGTATGTTAACTTTCATTCCTCTCATTATTTTCTATTTTCACATGTGATTTCTTCTTTGATCTATTGGTTAAGAACATGCTGTTTGATTTCCACATTTGTGGATCTTCTAGTTTTTTTCCTGTTGATTTCTTTTACTCCATTGTGACCAGAAAACACTTTGTATTTCATTCTTTTTAAATTTAAGACTTCTTTTGTGGTCAAATACCTGGAGAATTTCCTATGTGCATTTGA